AAAAAAGGAGTAACCGAGGATGCGGCGCAACGATCCCTTTCCACCTTGGTCAGGCTGTCAAGAAGGCCGTCTTGGATCCGGCATGTTGACAAACTCGCGTCTGACCAGGTCCCGCCTCGACAGGGTTCTTTGAGCTTCGTGGCTCTACACAATCCGAGCAGGTCAGAGCAGGTGTCTCTCTGTGATCCCGGCAACGCGGCACTCCATGCTCGCTACCAGCTTTTGTCCAACCCAGACGGACATGGTGAGTGGTCTCAAGTTGTCATGGTAGTCGGCCTGACGATGACGGTTCATCCCAACAAGGATCCTGCAGGCAGTCCAGCAAAAGCGTTCGTGCAGGAGACCAAATCGACCTCGGCCCCGCCCCGTACATGACCCTTGCTGCTAACAGGAACATTGCCGTCTCAGCAATCCAATACCCATGCTGCGCCGAGCGTTGTAGCCTGAACACGGCAATTTGATGAATCGGCTGCCCAATGCTGGCTCCTGGAGGCGCACTCCGTTGTCCGATGCTGGTTGGTACAGCCTTTCCTTTTTCTGACTCCCTAGCATGTGATGGAACCCAATGATCGGTGCCGAGCACTCTCAATACGTCGACTTTGACTCACTAGTGTCGTTCAGTGGCCGGGGGGACTTGCTCACGTGGACGTCGCCTTATTCAACAACCGCAGAACTCCTATCCTCAGGAACGAAGCATACAGTAATGTGCCAGGAATGTACATGTGCTCTCGATCAGCAGACGTAGGCAGAAAAGGTAGGTCATCGGGAGAATATACAGACTAGCCACCTTGGTCAACTTGCTGGAAGGATCTACGACAGGAGTGTTGGCAGTGCAGAGCCCCCGGTAAAATGGCACAAAGTTGGCTCGTAAAGGTGCACCACAGGAGACGAGGGCTTAGCATCTGGAAAGACGCTGAGAGGGGTCGAGAAAGGTTCCAGTTTTCTGCACCATATAAAGAGTAATTTGTAGCGGACCTTCGCTGTAATCTCCGTCGCTCTTTTCTGTACCTCGCCATTCTTGTATTGCACTCACTGATCGCTAAAGTCTTCAGTCTGCCGAGAGTATAATATCCCGCTGGTGCGAGTATATCTATAGCAGCTCTCACATGCATATTTTCGGACCAGGAAGGACACCTAAGTTAATCTTGTATGGCCCCTTACGTACCACAGAGCTCTGTGGACGGTCAGTGCAGGACGACCGGTGTGCTACAGCCAGACGGCGAGGAAATACATCAGCGTGGACGCGCCGTGTAGTGGTACCTGGGTACAAGAGCTACGAAGAGCTCTAGAACAAGCCATTCAGACAAATTTGATTCGCATCCTTGTGACCACTTACGTTGACATGTCTCTCAGGTCCCCTCCTGCGAAGCTTTGGTAAGCGTGAGTTGAACTCTTCTCCATGGTGTTACCGCTTATCGCCTAATGGATCATATTCCAGCCCTCTCGCTGGTCCAATTGCCCAGCAATTCAGAACAGGCATCACTTGCAACGTATGACCAAATCCGTCATGGATCCTTGTCTGTTCTAGTAGGACAACATAATCAACCGCAACATTCAATGGCCGTGCCGTTCTTCCTTCGACCTGTGAAGTCATCAGGATGCCCAGACTAGCTTATGCTCGTCCACGATATAAGAAATTTGATAGACAGCTGCTGCCAGCGGTCTCCGACCAGTAGGCTTGGGGAAGCAACCTCAAGTCCTGTTAGCCGTGTGCTAGGACATGGGTGGCAGTGGAGATTCGGGCCGTGGTCGAAGGCTTCGAGCCGATACCGATTGGGGACACTGTTCAGCAGGAGCTATACGTTAGGCCAGCCTAGGCCTGAGACCCAGAGTTGGATTCCGTCAGGAACGTATCATCTGTCGAGATTCGAGATGCTGGATGACAACATGTCAGGCCACGCTTCACAATGAAAACCATAGTAGGCTTTGGGCCTTCA